TTGGATCGAGCGCTTACCACTAGGCCAAAAGCTATAGCTGATAGTCAGGGCGCAACTCTTTTTACTTAAGAGCGCAGTAGCCCAAGCGCCATGATTCGACAGTGACTTGGCCCACCTAGCCTCCGCCACGGGACAATTGATGCAACCCGCAACAATCTCCCCCTTAGCAATTGCCCCGCTGGGTATCGAACTCATGACCTTGGCTCTGATACCAATTATTGGATCGAGCGCTTACCACTAGACCAAAAGCTATAGTTGATAGTCAGGGCGCAACTCTTTTTACTTAAGAGCGCAGCAGCCCAAGCGCCATGATTCGACAGTGACTTGGCCCACCTAGCCTCCGCCATGGGACAATTAATGCAACCCGCAACATATCATATTAATTTTTGATGCACTATTAATAATTTTTTTATATTTATATCTCATAATATTCTTTAAAAGTAGTTATTGTATTGTTTATTTTTATAAAAAATAATTATAAGATTAAATTTAAAACATTACTATTTGTTTTATCTATATATTATTATTTTTTTCAACTTATGCAAAACAATTTAAGACATTATTTATTCTTATACAGAAAGAATATAATAAATTGCATGTTTGTGTGTATAGGTTTGATTGTGGTTAATAATCCTTTGTTATTATTTTTTTTTTTTATTCATAATTTTTGATATTATTATTTTTTTAGTCATTTTTTTAAAATTATTTATTTATTAATTTTTTTTAAATTTCATCTTTGATAATTAATGTGTGTTTATTGAACAATGTATTTATTCATTTTTAATGTATTATTTCTTTTTCAATCACCTAAAAAGTATAACAGAAAAATAAGTAATAAATACTTTAAAAAATTAAAATATTAATTATTTTCTTAATTTTTGTACATAACTTTAAATATATAAAAAAAAAAGAGGGATGGAGTAATAAGTAATGTGTGAATTTCATGACAAGCCCCGGTGGGTTGAGATTGTTTAATTGATTGTAATGAGCCAAGATCTTGGTATTTCCTAAACTCGTCTAAGATCAAAGAGACGTGTGATCTCTATGAAATTGACCTATCATCAAGCATCCCTAAGCAAAGTCAATATCGGATAATGTGTTTGAAATTCGATGTGAATCCACACAAATATGCCTCATTGCCAACAAAGCAACTTGTTTATCCTCTTTCACATCAATGAAATTGTATTTTTATTGATTGTGTGAAAGTAACTTTATTTTAGCTTTAATTTTATATTAAATGTTTTTCTTTCCCACAAACACAAAATTGCTATGGGTAGTGGTGTACATGTTGGTCCCTATCAAAAATGAAGCTCATGCAGCCACGGGGATTTATCCCACTGCTTGCTTGTTTTATCAGATACATTTCCTGAAAACACCCAATGAATTATATTATCTCTCTCTCTATATATATATAATTTTGTCAAGCTTTCACTTATTTAGGTAGATTGACTCATTCAAGATTAAAAAAAAAACATTTTAGGAGTAAAATACAGAATTATAAATTCATAACTGTTAATTTAAAAAGTTGATATAATATTTTTATCAGATAAAATGTCTCTTATTGAAATGAATTATACGTGACTTACATGATTCAGATTTCCTCCTCCGATCCTATGATATAAACACACTCTTCTCTAAACTAACTTATAAAACCATTTGTGGTACGTGTTTCATTTCATCCTTTTAAATTTTGTAAAGTTTTCGTATTAATGAACCTGATTATTTGATGGTTGCATTGGAGCGTATATATTCCTAGTTGAAATTATTGATTGACGAATGACGATGGTGTACTAGCCACCCATTTAGAAGTATATATAATAGTAGTATAATTTAAGGGCACGAAATTTAGGGAGAAAATAAATTATCTTTAAGAGGCCAAGAGATTACATATTGATTGAAGGAATCGAGTGGGAGTGAGCATAAGACAAAAGGAGTGTTTGAGATTAAAGAAAGTATATAAAATGCATGCATTGGTTTTATGCTCATAGGAAACATAAAAAAAGGTAGCAGTGCGTGCAGGTAAGCATGGTGTTTGGGGTTTTGATTTTTGAATATCTGAGAAATGAGAATTGTATTCATTCACTGGCACGCCTATCAGTACTGTTCCCATTCTCTCCTAAACTCAATGCCTTCCATCATTAACTTCCACGCATGCTTCACTTATCACTACTTCTCTCACAAACTCCACTAATACATTCTTTTTCTAACCGATTCAAGTTTATTGAAAACACCAATTTTAGTAAGTTATTTTACACTCTCTTAATTTTATAATTTTTAATGAATTTTAATTAATAACAACAATTATATTAAAAAAAATATGTTGTTAGTATTTATCTTATTTTCTATCCATTATAATATTTTTTTTAGTTGAATATCTCAATAATTACTTCCTATAAAACTAAAATAAAAGTATTAATGAAAATTAAAACATTATATATATATATATTAGGAACTTAGATTTTTTTTTATTTTGTAACAAATTTTAAAATTAAAATTAACTAGTATTTTAACATGTACAATATACAAACATGTAAATTATATATAATTAAAATATATAATAAATTATATATAATATTATATTTAAATATATAATTTATATTTAAAATTAAAATATATAAATATTTTAAATATATATAAATATTT